GAACAAAAATTTATTATTATCACAATAAAAATGCTTAAATTTTCTCAAATTATCATGCAGTATTACAATATCTCACAGTAGTTTTCTTTTAACTACTCAAATGTCCAATAGAACGTAATTCAAAACAGCTAAAGAACGCTAATCCGCGAATTCGCTACAATCAACAACAGTAGTTTTCTAAACAACAATAAACTAAGAAACTACTACAAACTGAGATGTTTTCCTCCTTTTATAAGATTTTAAAATCACGCGCTAGAATTTTCCAGTACTTTCTCGAAATCAAAAAGAGATATTTATTTATTTAATGCACGCTCTCTTGTATTTTCAATTTTCCGGCTTAGCTTTCTTTTAATATTCGTCACGCGCTGCACTGCGCGAGAAATAAAACCATTTAATTTATAATTGAACTAACATTAGCTTTTTAAATACCAAATTTGTAGCAATATATATATATACTGTTAGAAAGAGACTGTGATTACTTACTAAAATAAAAGAACACCATACATGTACATTTCTGCATTAATGAAATACAACTGATTCTGGTTAGTGGCAATTACAATATTTAAGTCCAATTAAGTGATTACTCTAATTATATGAAGTTTGGTACCAAAGTTTTGGAGAAGTGTAATATCAGTTCTGCAAGCCCACAAGTTATTTTAATTAATTACATAGCAAAGGACAGTTTTGTAATTAATCTGAATAAATAATTTGATGATATTATAAAATAACCTTTTCTTCCATACGAACATCTGCAATGAGCATTAAAAGTATAACATTTTGTTTTCTAAATACTTTAATCTTATCCTTCTAAAATAAATTAACTCCTAATAGTAATAATAAATAAATAAATAAAATTAATAAAAAAGAAAAAAAAAAACTTATTTGAAAAATTCAAAGCCATGCATATACTTAATAGATCTAACAAAAACGCATGGACTTCAGTTTACAATCTGTCTAACTTTAAATGCATGCACATGTATTTCTTATGGTAGCAAGAATTATTGTTGGCCTATTCTTTAAAATATTTGTGACCGACCATGAGCAGACAAAAGGAATGCATTCAATGATGATAACAGACTGCTTTCTTTCAGTCATGCAGAAGAAATTATTAAGTTATCAAGCTCAAAAGCATCATTACTTCTTTCAATTTCTTATTTTGCTGTTTCCATCAAATTTTTTCCACTTATTTTAACTACTGGAATGCCCACCACTTTCTTGCTTTTAATATTATTGATTGCATCTTCATATTATTCACAACTACTTACTCGTTACAACCCTGAAATGAATTCTAACTCACTTTTTGACCATTTTTTGTCTTGACATTTCCATAGATAGTCAAAATGACAAAAAATAATTTTGATACCTTCTTGCCTGTATTTTATGCTAGTTGCTTGCAACTTGGAAAATGTTCACTTATTATGTTCTTTCCCTTAGCTATCAAAAATTACACCTCTACTTTCCTCAAATGGATCTAACATGCCATAAATTTTCTGATGCATAACAATTTGATGCATTTTTGAACTCCCCCATCTAATGATCAGAATAAGGATATAATATCTGGCAGATCAAAATTTTAGATTAATATCTGTTCAGGATGTGCATCATAACCACCAACAGACTGGGCTTGAGCTGACTCTTTTCTTCTTCCATAGCTCAATGTTAACATCACAAAGTAAAATGTAACAGAATATTAGGCAAATTTCATTGCCAGCTTGGAACAGACAGAACATGCTTAAGACTTAAAAAAAGGTTAATGTTCTTGTTCTTGATATCTGGTGATAAAGTTACTGAAGTTGATGGCTGGCTACTGAGCGAAGTATTTTTAATCCTGTTATTGGTTTTATTTCCATCACAAAAGTGGGTGATGCTACTGTGGAAGGACAAACTATTATTCCTTTATCAGAGTTGCTTTATTAGGAGTTGGATATAGTACATTATTATTACAAAGTTTGTTGACCAGATAAATGTGTTATGTGATGTGAGAAGCGGTTAAACTGGAAAGTGGGTGAGAAGACAACTCTTTGTTTTCTCTACTAGTAGAAGGTACTGGATTTGAATTAGTTCAGACAAAGAAATTCTTTTGAAAATCTGTTAGACTGTTTAAGTGCTGCTGAAAATGACAGAGTGAAAAATCTCTTTAAAAGATAAGATTAATTCACTAAAAGTTTTAGATGGAAAATAAGATTAAAAGATAAGATTAAAAGATTAGATTTAAAAGATTAAAAGATAAAATTAATTCAATAAAAGTTTTAGAATGAATTAGAACAGGAAATTATCCATAAACAATACTGTCAGGGAAAAGCCACCAAATGGCTTGGCAGAGTATTGTATTTTAGCACTGATTGGAGTCTTAACATTTTGCAGAATGTAATTTCTAATAGGATTCTACGAAGTTCTTTTAAACTGCCTAAATTAGAAATGTTGAAATTTCATAGGGAACGTAGTGCATGGTTAGATTTTTGGAACAGTTTTGAAATAGCAATACATAATAATGAAATATTGACAAAGGTAAAAAAATTCAGTTATTTAAAACATTACTTGTCAGGAAATGTTTCAGGATTTTTCTTAAGTAGTGAGAACTATTGCATAGCACTGCTTTTGGCAAAATGACCTTATCATAAAGTTCTCATATAAACTGTTACCTATTGAGCCAATAAGAATCTTCAACAATTTCAAAGCATTAAAGCAGTTGCATAATGAGTGTCAAGTGCAGTTACAAAGTTTAGAAACTCTTAATGTCACTGGATGTGCTTACAGGAATATATTATGACTTTTAATTTTACACAAATTGCCTGAAGAGTTTAATTTAGAGTACAATAGGAAACACAAATCAGCTTTAGATCTTAACGTAAGTGAACAGTCAACGTTTTCAAAAAAAGTAGTAGAATGTACAGAAGCATCAAACTTATTAGTTAATTCTAATTATAGAAACATTAATAGAGGAGTAGGAAGAAAACTATTGAATAAGATTGCATTTATAACTCATTGCAAGAAGGCTGCATTTCTTGTAGGTTTAAAACATATGATGCAGAAAATTGTCGATTGGCCATTCTGGATAGAAAGCGAGATGCAAAAGTGGAAGGATTACGTTTTCGCTGTCTGAAACACAGACACGTCACCAAACAGTATTGCTGCTGCTAAGACACCAATAAAATATGCAACCAGTTACATAATTATTTAATTTATGATAGAACAATTGAGTGAGGCTGCATCCCAATCTGAAAATGCATCAATTTCAGTTTCTAATTTAAATTTTTCATGAGAAAAAAGCATTTTATTATGAACTAGTAGTGTATTTTAAAAATGGGAAAAAATAGGAATTACTGAGAATATTATATGATTCTAGATCTCAGCTTTGCTTTCTTAGAAAGGAAATTTGTGGATGCTTTGGAAGATGGTTCAGAAGCAGCTTGAAAGGGAACTATCAAAAGATATGGATTTGGACATGCAAGTTCATCTTCTTTGGTTTACAATGAAGTTTGTTTGAATCTCTACCATTGATTTAATCCAGCATTACATATTACACTTGAAGCCCTAGTTACAAAGAAAATCATAAATGGTCAAATAGTAGTTCTGACTAGATGGTTGAAGTTTCGCAAAAAATTATTATTTTTATTTAGATTATTAGATTTATTAGATTTTACATGGTAAATCAGTAAGATTAACTAGTACATTAATTGTTATTGACCGCATTGTCGGATTCAGTTCAGGGAAGAACATTTTTTGATTTAAGCTTTTCAGTTATATGTTTTAAGAAATGTGGTAACTGACTGTAAATATATTACTGAGAAGCTGAAAACCTTATGGGAGTTAGAATTGAAGTAAAAAGCAATGCAGTGAAAATATTATGCATTTGTTCAAACATAACATGATATATAAATATAGAAGATATGAAACAAAACATCTGTAGAAAAAGAAACATCAGAATTAAGATATTTATCACGGATTAGTAACAATCATTAAGTTTAGATTCATTAGACTAGGAAATAAATTAAGAAACTATATAGAATTATTATGTAATAGTGTTATGATGAAGTGAGTGTTAAAGGAGCAGCTAACCTAAGGGGTTATTGAAGAATGTCAGTTTCAGGTAGTAGGTGATTCGAGTTACTGACTTCCTCATTGCAGTTGTTAGAGAAGAAACATTCACCCCTAAATTATGCATTGTCTATGATTCATCATCTAAAGATAAAAATAAAGTATCCCTTAATAACTGCTTTGATCTGGGTTTAAATCTTCTGTCATATATGCATTGCGAGATACTCATAACTCCCAGAAGAAGCAGTTTTGAGCCTTAAACATATCCTTATTTATTTAAAACCATGACAATCTTGCATATAAACTATTATTGGCATGAAGGTTTTAGATAAATGGAATGTGAAAGACAGTATTTTTATTATTATATTGAAAATAAATTTAAAACAGAAAGTTTGGAAAGAAGTTATGGAAAATTATTATGACAATCTCTGCTAAAATATAGAAATATCAGGAAAAATAAAATTATTTCTTTAAAATTCTGAAAACTGTGCTTTCAGAAAAAAGAGTGACAAACAAAGATGAGAAATAAAAGTATAGGGAAAAAAAAAAAAAAAAAAAAAAAAAAAAAGATTTTTCAAAAATTAATTAATTTGAGCCTTAAACATATCCTTATTTATTAAAAACCATGACAATCTTACAACTAAACTATTTTTGGCATGAAGTTTCAAATTTGTTTCAAAAATTAATTAACGCTCTATTTTGTGACATTAATAAATAAGAAGTTTAAAAAATTTAAATAAGTAATGCAAATAAAGGCATTACTTATTAGTCCTTTTGATTTTGAGAAAAACTGAGTACAGAATTTTTCACAGAAATGCATATTATTTATAACAGTGTTTACAAATTATTTATAACAGTGTTTTGGGAGTCTTCAGAAAATAATATCAGCTTGGTATCTAATGATAATCTATTATTAAATCGGAAACTATGATTAAAAGTTGAAATTTTTTTATTTTACATACTTCCTGAGTATATTCCTTTGGCAGTGAATCACCAGCTCCTATGCTGGGTCCTCCCCCATGTAATTTGAGAGCTCTGATGGTTGCAACAACTATAGCAGCATTTGGAATCAAACCAGAATAACGGCATTTGATGTTACAAAATTTCTCTAAACCAACATCAGATCCAAATCCTGCTTCAGTAACTAGAAAATTTAAAGGAGGCATAAATCTTAAAACATTCAATAAATGCTCAGAAGAAATGCTTCATCAAAAGGTTATATAACTTGTATTTTAAAAGGTTAAGTTTTTAAAAATAAAAAAGGCTAAAATCTATAAACAATAAATAAATAAAATCACAAAATTGTCTAAAGCTTAAACCAACTCAAAATTGTTTTTTTACTCAAGAATATACAATTATTTTTCAATGCTTTATCATAAAAGATAATAACACTTGACAGTTGATGGGATTTTTAAAGGACTTCCTCATATTTATAAAATCATTTTACAAGCATTTCACTTCATTTGATTCTCTTCAAAATTATTAAGAAAGCTGAAAAGCTAGAACTGAAATAAATTCAGGCTTCCACATTGTGAAAATAATGAAATAATTCAGCAAAGAAAGAGTGGACTATAAAAATAAAAAGCGTAAGTGATCAGAACAGCATCTGCCAAACATATCATAAAATTCTCAGAAGGAAACTCAAAGACTTACAAAATAAAGGCAAAAATACTTTTTTATGAATCAGTATTTTATTAAATTATTATGCTAAATTTTTTTTGCAAAAATGCTGACATAAATATTATAATATTTTTTGCTAATATGCGTTTTTTTCATTAAAGTTGCATGAATATACTTAAGAGTGATGAAATTAATATGGTGAGAATTGGGGGTTTGCCTGTCATCTTAAAAAGATTAAAAATGAAAAGAAGTCTAATAAGTTATTAAATTGTTAAATGAATTAAAGAATTTTCTTTGCAATTCATATATTTAGATATTAAAGTAGATTCTTATTTCTCAAATATTTTGTCTAACATGATCTGGAATATTGGTGAATTGGTGATATTCTCAAAATACTTGAGAGCTATTGGTCTAAAAGAAGAGATGCATTTGGAGAAGACTAAGAGAAATCTACTCATAATCACATTATATATGAGCAAAATCATGAATGCTCATTAGAAAAAATGCCTTTTATCTGTGTCTGAACTCACGCCAAACTACCAAAACATGATGACATACAGACTGGGAACACTTCCTAATTTTATTTTACATAACCTTTGGATTTAAAAAAAAAAAATTATAAGAAGTTATAACTGAGAGCAATTATAAAGATTTTTCAAAATACACATGTTTTCTGTAGCAATGGAAATAAGTAATTAAATATTTTCCCAGCAAATACCTCACTCTGTATCAATTTATATGAAAATATTTCATTCCACTTAATCTTATTTTAATGTAATATTTGATTAAATAAAATAAAAATATTAATATATGTCGGAGAGACACTATGAGATCCAAATTTGCATCCAATTCCTTAACAACTCAGTAGAATTCTGGTAATCTGCAAACCTTGGGAACTAAGTATCATGCAGATTAAAGAGTTTTGTGGATTATAGGTCATGTCTTTCTTCAGATTTGCTCTCATGTAATTTTTTACATTAAAATTACTGATTATCTTCACCACCACCAAAAAAGCATGAAAAGTATTGGAGAAACAATGTGTCACCACCAAAAAAGCATGAAAAGTATTGGAGAAACAATGTGTCACCACCAAAAAAGCATGAAAAGTATTGGAGAAACAATGTGTCATGTTGATAAAAAGTTTGCGATAAACTCACGTGTGCTATATGACAACCCATGATGTTAGCAGAAAGTATTTATGCATCAATCCAAGTGTGTATAGAACATGCGGATTTTTATTTTTGAAATTCAGTGGCCATTTTTCTGATTAGTATTAGTATTTCTTTTTGAAACGAGTACATTTATTTTTGTAATAATGTATAATGGGAGCATAGAATTTTTAGACTAATGAAAAAGAAAGTGTTGCATTATTTCAGAAATTAAGCATTTTCCTCAATAAACGAGAATGTACAACTTTGTACTCTGTAAAGTTATATTTCTTAAATGAAAAAAATTTATAAAAATGCAATGTGAAAAATTGTTAGTAAAGTGTTAGAAGGCAGGTCGGAAATTGATTTGAAAATAGCCATACCTTCTTTACAACAACTGTTTGCTTTATTTATTGTTAAACAAATAAGATATACATCAGTGGTATTCTGTGAAGAAGAAATGGGATTATCCTCAACCACAACTATCAGTTGTTATAATTACCTCCAAACAATGTATGTGTCTTTTATGGAAAAAGAAGAATGCAAAAAAATATGTGGCACTGGATGCATTGTGAAAACAAATATAAGGATACACAAAAAATCTTGTCTCTTCAAATAAGCCAATGAAATCGTGCATGTTCTCTGAAGTCAACAATGAGTTTTCTGGATTTTTTAGTGGGGGTATAGATAAACAAAAGGTACTTCAGATTGTTTACACATACATAACTTAAAAGGCATATTGTTTAATCCTTAAGAACCTTAAGAATTGTTTAATCAAATTTTCTAAAATTTAAAACAATTATGTTCTTTAGATACGAGGTTTAGATATGAGGAAAAAAAATCATCCCTGTACAAGAGGAAAACATAATGGAGAAAAGAAAAAATAAATGTGAGGAATATATATTGTGGAAATAAAGAACTCCTTTGTAAAAATGCTTATATATCTATATATAGAGAGAGAGAGACAGAAAGAGAGAGTGATGGTTTTGAATTTAATTTCTTTCAAGTCTTTGTGAGTTTGGTTCTAAATTTTTTAATTTTTATCTATATATATGTGTGTGTGTGTGTCCATTAATAAGATTACTTTCAAAGCAATTTTTGTACTCAAACAAAAGAGGAGAGAGAAACTAATGAAAGCACTGTTCACAAAAAGCCTCTGCAAGAAGGTTTTCTCTAAATTTAATCCTTACAATAATTCTGCCATTACATTATGTGCTGGATTAATAGCACTACTGGTGGTTAACAAAGCGTGTTAGAAATACTTTTCCTTTTTAATGACAAAGAATTCTCTAAGAGTTCTATTTTTAATATACTATATAATTACACTGACAGGATAAATAAGCTTGCTGAATGTAAAGGATATAAACACAGGTGTAACAAAGTGCATTTAAGTTTGCACTTGCATCTGAAATCTTGTGGACAAATAAATTCTTTACATATATTAACCATATAAATTCAAGATTAGGCAGTGGAATATTAACCAAATGATAAGATATTTAGCAAAAAATAAAAAAATTGTTAAATTCATTATTTATATTTACTGTATCTGCCACTTATTAAACTTAGGTGCTTATTTCATCCAAATTTCCAAGAATCAAAACAAATATACATTAATCAATATAAAAACTGCCATATATTAAACTCAGACTCGGAAAAGACTTCTTGTGTTTTACCTTTCTCTCCACAGATTCTTCAATACTAAAATATGCTACTTGAACTTATCAAAGCCTTTCGTATTTCATCCATTTATTGTGCTACGGACCGTGGCTTTAAACACAGAAATCACGTCTCTAAAATGATTTCAAGCAATAAAGTTAAAAAATGTTTCTTTTTCCACCAATTTGCTAAATGCTAGGAAAGAATTTTGTATCAAGTAATATATGGCTCACAAGATACTGAAAGAAATATCTACCACTGTTTATCAGAAATTACATGGTGAGAAGGAAGAAGCAGATATTCAACATATATTTGATTTTTTGTATATTTGTTTTTTGATCTTAGTAACCACTGTATTATAAATAGCAGCAATAAAAACAAGTAAGTGAAAAATTTTTAAAAATGCACATATTCTTGGAAATGGTAACAAGCCATGAAATATCAATGAGGGTTATTAATTAAAGTATTTGATTTTGTATGTAAATTTTCACATAAGCTTTTTGAACTTTATCTAAACTAATAGTTGCAATAGATGAATTTTTAACTTTTCTTAATTAGTCTCATTGCCAATCCAATAATGAAATAATGTAATGACTTAATAGAAATTCCAGTTTTAGTTTAACAAAATGATTTTGATATTAAATCTTTTTACATTAAATCTAGGATGAAAGATATTTAGCCCAAGAAAGAAGGAGTTCAGTCTAATGACTCAATACACATGATATTTAATATGAAAAAATTTTCATCTTTTGTAGGAAAATTTTGTTTCAAGAAATAACACTTTTTATAAAAAAAAAATAAAGAAAACCAATTTATTGCATTATTACAAAAGTATTTAAAATTCTTATTATATAAGATATAATTATTAAGATATTTATGCCAAGAAAGAAGGAGTTCAGTCTAATGTCTCAATACGCACAGTATTTAGTATGAAAAAATTTTCATTTTTTGTAGGAAAATTTAACTTAAAGAAATAACAAAATTTATAAAAAAATACAGAAAACCAATTTATTGTGCTATTACAGAAGTATTTAAAATTGTTATTATATGTAAAATATTATGATGTTTTGATTGCTTAATAGCTTTTTTGATTGTAATTTAGATACATTTTAATGCTTTTATCCGTGAATATTTTCACATACAAACAAGATAAACAAGAACAATTCTAGCATATATTTCAAGCGACAGAACTCACCAACATATCCATTTTTTCCAACAATTTTCAAAGCCAATTTATCTGCAATTATGGATGAACTTCCATGAGCAATGTTAGCAAATGGACCAGCATGAACAAATACAGGTGCACCCTTTAAATCCAATATTAAATCATTAAATTTCAAAATACTGGAATTTAAAATTATGATATTTTATCAAGTCACACAGAAAATAGTATAAGAGAAATGATACGCGAATTTTAGACATTTGCTTATCATAAAAAAATATTAACGTACTCCAATGCCTTTGCAGAGGACATTTTATGAGAAACTGGCTCATGTTCATGAGAAAAATTATGCAGCCAATGCATCTGAATACTAACACGAATCAAAATCTTTAAAAACATTATACAGTTCAAATTATTGGATACGATTACAGTGACTTCTATTGCTTATATTTTTTATATTAAAAATAAGCAGTTATATAAAAGCTTTGATCTAATATATAAAATCAGAGACAGCACTGAGAATTATAATATTTAATTTGAAATTAATATTATGTTCTAATACAGATGAACAATGCTTATTTCATTTAACATGAGAATTTATTTCCCTGCATTCAAAGCAGTTTATATATGGTTCTCTTCAGATAACTAATAATATATATTAAAAATAAAATAAAATAATTACCTCCAAAGTCTGCATTAAGTTGGGACGAATAGCATCCTTTAGTAAAATTGCTAATGCACCAGTTACTCCCTTAAAAAAAAAAGTTTTCATAAATATTCATCCTTGAAGGCTTAAAATTAACTTCTACTTTACTACATTTAATTTAGTATACATAAAACCTGGCATTCTGAAATCTTTCTCCATCGGTTTTTAAGGTGAATGATTATTTGATTTACTTTAGATAGAAATACATACATTTCCCATTTGTCGCTTAAAACTGAAGTATTTGCAATGACACTTGTGTTATATATATATATATAAACCAAGGAAAAAATAATGAAATAAAATTAAAAAATATATATAAAATCTGAAAGCTTTTAGATTTTATATTATACCCGAATGGGCGTTTTTTTTTTTTCATTTGCAGATAAATACATATTTGAGAGCACATGGGTTAATGCCACTTTGGGCTAATAAAGAAAAAAAAAAATTAAATTTCACACATCAGATAATTTGATATCTTAATTAAATGAAGAGAAGTCTAGGGAGAGATCTTTATATAAAAACAAATGGTTATATAAGAAGAAGAAAGGAAAAGAAAAATTACCAGATCATCAGAAGTTACGGGATTTCCTTTCTTATCATTTGCAACCACTATTTTTGAAAGTTTTTCTTTCATATCTGCCATACTTGTAGTCAAAGCTAAGATAGCCATAATTTCACTAGCAACTGAAATGTCAAACTGAGTCTGAAAATAAACAGAAACATCATTATATAATAAACAATATAAAAAAAAATTATACAAACTTTGCTACCTTGCATTATGATGTAAAGAGGAAAAGCCCAAAAATTTCTGGGGAACAAATTACCTTAAGTTTCTCATCAAACTTGTAACAAATGAAAAAAGAGTCTAGAACTATGCTTATGAACATGAATCACAGCAGCAATTTAGTAAATGAAAGAAACCTAATTCATCCACATTAAAAATAACTGGTATGTTTGCATTGATGCAAATACACTAGTTTGTTTTTTATATTTATATAATATTATATAAACAGTTTGTTTTGCAACCTAAGATCTATAATTGACCTTGCTTCATAAAATATTTTTCTCTTAATCGGACTGAAGTAGCAAATGAAACAGGAATCTAATTGGCATTGCTAAGATTCAATAAAAATTCCTACCAGTCTTAATTACATTCTAAATGAAGACTTTAGAAAACATTTTCAGTCAAGGTAACAGTAATTTAGATGACAGAAAATATTTTGAAGCTATTTTTAAAAGAATTCAAAAACTTTTGAGTTAAAATTAGTAGTATGTCTTTAGTAAAAATGTAATTATGTCAAAGTTTTAATTTCAAAATTTCACTCATTTACGGTTTTAATTAATATATATATATATATATATATATATAATGAAAGGAACCTACTTCTCTGACCATTTTTTTCTCAGTTTGTGCTAAACCAATAGCTATTTTCCTCAAAAACCTGTCATTTGTATCTATAACTAAAAATTTAAATCTATATTAGATTCAACAATTTGCAAAATAAACTTTATAAATTCATTAACTAAATAAATTTCAAAATAGTGATCAATATTAATATTAGAAAACCAGTGATCTAAGAAACACTATTTGGATAACAGAAAGTTTGTAAAGGGGAGACTTGCGCTAACTAAGCATAGAGAAATATTTTAAAATTTTAAACATTTCAGATCTATTGCATATTTCTAAAAAAAGAGAGTGCAACTAATGTATTCCCCATATATATATTACACAAACCAGACTTTCTTTATAGGACAATATATGGCAAACAGTTTTCTGCAGAAAACTATATGCACCAACATTGCCTATGGATCATTCTTATGCATTCATCTTACCTTTTATAACACTGTTTTTCTTTCCAAAGTACATATTGTCAACAGGACTTTTCGAAGTGTATCATTCTATTTTGTTTATTGTTTACTCTTTCCAAAGTACATATTGTCAACAGGAACTTTTCAAAGTGTGTCATTCTATTTTGTTCTTTGTTTACCGAAATAACTAAATTAAGAGATATATTTCTTATTTCACAAAAATTATCACAATTAAAATGAGCCGATGATGAAAAGATGTTTTATCACTGAAAGTATCAAGTTGTTACACATATCGGTACCCATACTTACGTATTATCCCGTCAACCTCCAGCAGAAACTTCAGCAATGGTCACCAGTTATTACTGCAGAATTCTAAAGGAAGTGGTCATCCATAATTGGCATTAAATCACACTACTTAGTCGGTCAATGGGATAATACGCAAGTACCCAATGCTGAATTTTTTCCAGTGAGCCCATTCATAACCGACAGGTAGGTGAGCAGCTGTGTTTCATTTCTGTTTCTCTTTTTTTTTGGGGGGGGGGGGGGTGTTTGGTTATTAGCCAAGGAATTGTTTGGGTGTTTTTCTGAAGGTCAGGGACAGTTTATATTTTCTTAGTTGTAGTTTATTTGTTTCTAATTTTTTAATTAATTTGCAAATGGATCGGAGTGGGCTGACCATTTCTGAAGCTCTAAAAATTATACACGAATTGCCTTCAGATAGTGAATCTGATATGGAGAGATGCATTTTTTTTGGTAGGGTGTTGAGAAGCACCCTAGGTAATGCTAAATCTGCTGCAGTAATCAGAATTCAGCGTTTTCTAATCGTAGGCAAAATCTTTTACTCTATTATGCCCTTCCAAGCAATGCTCGCTTCAGCCCTCTTTTCGAAGCTCCAGTCATTCAATGAGCCCGCCTCGAGCACACTCATAAAATTAAAACTAAAACAGTAACTAAAACGCTTTACAAAATTTTATCTATATTAACTCTAGGCCTGATTAGATTGCCTAGAACTGTTTTTATTAATTTTTATTGAAATTTTATTTTTAGGAGGTAGCGTGCCAGAAACAGTTAACTGATAAACTGTTCACAAATACCTTAATAGATGCTGAATATCCCTACAGAAGTTATAATAATACAATTATGACTATTGGGATTTTTGGGCTGAAAATCTGACTAACTAAAGAAAGTTAGAAATAATACCCGTAAAATAGCTGAATCAACAGAGGGACAAATGGATGTTATAGCTCTAAGACATGCTCTCGTCACTTTCAAGAGAGTCACTGCCAATGAAAAGAGACTTATCTTTCAGAATTTTGCTGCAAATTTAGACTTTAGAAGAGAGAGCACATGGGCCTATAGGCTCTGTTCTTCCAATGCATGATTAGTCACGTCATGAGGTGAATGAACCACTTGTCAAATGCAAGTCTTAGCATGGAAGCTGCTGCTTTGGCAGCTTTGGCTAATAAGCTTTGAGCCAAAGCAGCAGCAGAGAGCTGCTGCTTTGGCTAATAAGTATTACGCCTCTATTTGCGAAATTTCTTATATCAAACAGTGTAAACTTTAACAGTCTCCTCCTACTGATTGAACGAGAATTACGAGAACTTTAATAGTGGATTACGAGAACTTTAATAGTGACTTCAATTTCATCAAACTAAACAGCGCCCTCCATGAAAAAAAAAAAAAAAAAAAAAAAAGTGCTGGATCAGACAACCTTCCATCCGAATTGTTCTTGCATCTAGAACAGAATGCTAAAAGTACTCTCCTGGCTCTTTTTAATGTTATCTGAAGAAAAAAAAAATCCCTGCCGACTGGGAAAAAAATAATAAAAAAAAAAAAAAAAAAAAAAAAAACTACAATTCAAAAGCCCCATAAACCACTTGAAAATTCTGGAAGCTATCGACCTATCTCACTGAAAAAATTCTGTTGCAAAATCATGGAAAAAATGGAATTGTTGCTTAGATGATATAAATGCTATCTTTGCTTTACAGGCTGGATTCCAGAAAAGAAAGAACACCGCTGAACATATCACTTATCTTACCTAGTATATCAAAGATGGTTTTCAGGTAAAAAAATCTAATCTGGCAGTCAGTATCTGTCGATATGATACGGTGTGGGTAAAGAAACTAGTTGATAAGCTAATTAATTTAGGCATAGAGGGCAATCTTGTTAAGTGGCTAAAATCTTTCCTTGCCCAAGGAATTGCAAGGATGAGATATTGAGATGCTAACTCTGCTTTCATCCAGCTGTGCAATGGGCTACCCTTTTCAAGATCAGGATAAATGACCTTACTGTAGCCATTTAATGTTACTGATACTGACATCCAAAGAGTAAATAAGGAAATTAATTTACCTTTGATTAAACTGCGAAAATGGTGTGATGAAAATCAAATGGAGGTAAATTTAAGAAAAACTGTTTGCGAGTTGTTCACCCTTTCAATAAAATCGCATAGTCTCTCTCTCTCTTATACAAAGAAAGACCTGTGACAAGGGTGAGTGATGCTTACTATCTCGGAGTTCACTTTGAATAAACTAAATCATTCAGCGGAGATGGCCGTAGGGGAATTGATAGACTAAAATTATTAAAACGATTTTATTTCTTGTATTTCTTGGGGATCTACTCAAGAAACACTAAACAGAATGTATACAACTTACATCAGACCTGTTTTTTAAAATAGTGTTGAGCTCCTTGCTACTGCCCCAAAGAGCTGTGGATAAATTCTGGATAGAGTTCAAAATAAAGCTCGAGCTGCACGCTCTACTCCTGCCACGGAAGTTCAAATTTGCTTGGAGCCCCTAATTTTTAGAAGAGACAAGCAGCTCTTGAAACTATCTAACAGTTGCTCGAGACTATCCCTGGCCCTGTTATATATGTAACTGTAACTGTATCTATTATTACCTTTAACCGTAACTGTAATATAATATAGTAGATGACATCTTGTAATCATCACTGAGCACGTACCCAACACATATAAAATACAACACATGGCGCAGCCCATTGTTGATTAAAAAAGAAAATCTCTTTTGAAGAACCATGCAGTCTCCATAAAGATGTTCTAAACAAAAACATCATGGGAAGTTGTTTACTGTGAAATCGAAACTTATATCGCTGGTAAGTGAGTTGTTTATTTTTATTGGAAGTGGCTAAAAATACGTATATATAAACTATTTAATGTCCTAAATTAAATATGGATGGATTAAAGCCACCAAGTAATCTAAGTTTCGAAGGAAATTTAAGCGAAAATTGGAAGAAATGGAAACAAAAATTCCAAATTTATATGTTAGCGTCTGGTGGTATTACTAAATCACCTGAAATTAAAGTAGCTATTTTATTGCATATAATTGGTGAAGAAGCACTTGAAAAATTTAATACTTTTAATTTAAGTGAAGAAGATAAGAAGAATGTTGACAAAGTAATTGAAGCTTTCGAAAATTTTTGCATACCGAAAGCAAACGAAAGTGTTGATAGACATATATTTTTCTGTCGAACACAACATGTAGGTGAATCGTTTGATGATTTCTTAACCGATTTAAAGAAATTAAGTAGCAACTGTGGATTTGCAGAATTAAAAGATAGTTTAATAAGGGATAGATTAGTAAGTGGAATTCTAAATAAAAATCTCAAAGATAGATTATTAAGGGAAGATCAGTTAACATTGGAGAAATGTATTAAAATGTGTAAAGCTTCTGAATTAGCAGAACTTCAGCTGAAAACTTTAACTGAAGAAAATAAAATAGAAGCTGTCAAACGTAATAAATTTCGACCTTCAGAGGAAAATGTCAGCCTTGTAAGAAAGACTTTCATGTAAAACAAAAGCAACAAAGTACTAAATCTTCTTCAAATTATCAAGGAAATAAGTACAATAATCCAAAACCATGTAGAAAATGTGGAACTTTTCATAAGTTATACAACTGTCCTGCTTATAATAAGATTTGCTTGTACCGTAAAAAGAAAAATCACTTTTCTAAAATGTGCACTTTTAAAAATGTTAATGTTGTACAGAATAATTTAGAGCATGAGTTACATAATAATGGTAATGAATATATTTTAGGGTCAGTAGAAGATACAAATCCATTTTCTAAAAATAAAACCGAATGGTTTGAAAAACTAAAAGTAAACATATCTAAATATTTATTTGTTAAGTTGGATACTGGAGCTCAGTGTAATGTGCTACCATTGCCTAAATTTAAACAATTAAATTTAAGAGAGAAATGTTTGACTAAATCAAAAGTCACTTTAAATAATTACAATGGTACTACAATTGATGTAGTTGGAAAATGTAAATTATTATGTGAAACATCAAAAGGGGACAAGGATGAAATAGAATTTCAAGTCGTAGCATGTGATAAAACTGTTCCAGCTATTTTAGGTTTACCTACATTGCAAAAATTAAACCTAATTCAAAGGATTTGTACAGTAAATCCTGATTCCAATGAAAAGTTACCAGAATTTTTAAAAGGATATCAAGATTTGTTTAAAGGAACTGGGAATTTAACTGGATATACATATCATATTAAATTAAAACCAGGAGCTGTTGGTAAAATAGAACCCTGTAGGAAAATTCCATTTAGCTTATTAAATCCATTAAAAAAGGAATTAGCAAGAAAAAAAAGATGGTATTATAAAGAAAGTTAACCAACCAACAGAATTCGTGA